TCTTATGAAGCGAAACGATCAGTCTGTGCAAGAAATTGAACATAATTTACAACATTATTACCTGTAATCCACAGCCTCAGGCAAACGGTCCAGAGTGATGTCCGGTTCATGAACGAATCATTCTTTTGAATCGGTTCTTTTCAATGAACTAGATGAACCAGTTCAGCAAATCGTCTGATTCCCGGCTTGAGCAGCACAGATCTACTCAATCAGAACTCACTTTCAGACGCCTGACAGTCACTCCGACTGGAAATGAGCCGAAATAGCGGCGTATCTGATCCTGTGATGAATTAACTGATTCAGCGCTCCAGTTCCTCCAGCAGTCACTGAACTGAGGAAACAGTTCGACTCGGACCGAAGACAGATGAGCCGCTGATATGAGCAAGCGTGAACCCAACACTTCAATGAAGGGGCCAAATGAATTAAGGTTTCTGTATTAAGGTGAGCTGATGAAGACTAGTTTATTCACTTTATATGCTAAAAACATCCACGTTTCACATCATTATTGGGTGATTGATTACGTAAACAAACTAGTACACTGAATTAGTTCATTGAAATGAACTGTCCGAAAGAATCAGTTCGCTGAAAAGAATCATATTTCCGTTTGCCTGAGGCTGTGGATTACAGGTAATAATGTTGTAAATGATGTTCAATTTCTTGCACAGACTGATCGTTTCGCTTCATAAGACCTCAATATATCATCAGGAGCCACGGCTGTTAATTATTGCCTATATACAGTGGGGCAAATAAGTATTTGATACACTGCTGATTTTTCAAGTTTTCCCACTTACAAAGAATGGAGAGATCTGTAATTTTCATCGTAGGTACACCTCAACTGTGAGAGACAGAATCAAAAAAAAAATCCAGAAAATCACATTGTATGATTTTTAAATAATTAATTTCCATTTTATTGCATGAAATAAGTATTTGATCACCTACCAACCAGCAAGAATTCTAGCTCTCACAGACCTGTTAGTTTGTCTTTAAGAAGCCCTCCTATCCTCCACTCATTACCTGTATTAATTGCACCTGTTTGAACTTGTTACCTGTATAAAAGACACCGGTCCACACACTCAATCAATCAGACTCCAACCTCTCCACTATGGGTTTGACTCTAAAAGTGACAGTAGCCATTGCCTTGCATTTTATGAATCAGCAAGGACTACAGTTTCAGCTAAAAAGCTTCTTTACTGTTCTACTGAAGAAAAAAGTCTACATCTTGGATGGCCTGAGGGAGAGTAAATTAACAGCAAATTTACATTTTTGCGTGAACTATCCCTTTAAATCTTGTTTTTATTTTGAACAATTCATCAGTGCACATTATTGTAAAGAGAAACAACATCTTTATCATAATGTAATGATTTGCTTTTCCTTTTCAGCTCTTATTTTAAAACCACCCTCATATAGAGACACTTCACAATCAATTTCTGATGGATGAAATCAGTTCTGCTCCCTGGTTTCTTACTGAATGTCCTTTTCACTCATAAATACGTCACATTAAAGTCAAACTGGTTGCAAGTACTATTTCATGTTGACTTTAAAGCTTTAAAGAAGTGTACAGAATATTACAAAAAAATAAATATGACCAGCACTGAAAACAAGAAATATGTAAATGTAAAATCAAAGAGAGAAACTAAAAAAAGGAGTGGTGATTATTATTTTAGAAATTATTTTACAGAGACTGCACTCACTAACAGAAGGTGCAATATTAAATATTGTATTATTAATTTAACATGATATATTTCATATTAAATATATACTATAATTGCAATATATTGTATAATAATATTTAATTTACTCGGCATTACAAATAACGTTCACTTTATAAATTACCATGGCTTTAATGGATAATAACCTACATATGTAAACTGTTTATATTATATTTAAAGATTAAAAATAAATTGTTATAAATCATTTTATAGAGACTGCACTAACTAAGAGCAGGCACAATATTAAATATTCTTAATTTTAAAATATTGAATATATTATAAATGATATCATACATATACAATATAAAAAAATATATTATTATTATATATATTATAATAATATTTAATTTGCTTGGCCTAACAACTATCTTTCACTATATACATTTTCATGGCTTTGATGGAGAACTTATATTATTTATATATAACGCATACATTCATATTACATACAGAGGCACTTTAGTGAGGTGATTAAAAATTACACAAAAATTGTTATAAATAATTTTATAGAAACCTCACTCATATATACATATAAATATATAATATTAACATATTATATTATTATTAATATATTATTACATATTCGCTCAGCCTAACAAGTAACTTTCAATTTGTAAATGACCATGACTTTAATGGATAACTTAAATATGTAAATGCAAAATCAAAAGCAGAGAAATACAGAGAGAGAAGCTAAAAAAGGAAAGGAAATTAGAGAGGTGATTATCCCCGACAGAGAGGAAACCACAGCATGAGATTAACAGAGAATGAGTGTGTCACACACACACACACACACACACACACACACACACACACACACACACACACACACACACACACACACACACTCACACACACACCACACACACACACACACACACACTCACACACACACACATTCACACACTCACACTCACACACACATACACACACTCACACACTCACACTCACACACACATACACACATACACACACACACATTCACACACTCACACTCACACACACTCACATAGACACACACACACACACTCACTCACACACACACACACACACACACACACACACACACACACTCACACTCACACACACCACTCACATAGACACACACACTCACACACACACTCACATAGACACACACACTCACACACACACTCACATAGACACACACATCAGGACGGACACTTTCTGTGTCTCAGGCTAAAATCCTCACGGCACCAAAAAATTTGTGTCCAAACCAGCCTGACGAGACATAAAACCAGGTCACACTGAGCAGCACTTTCACGTTCTGTGTCAGACACAAACTGATCATCACAGGAAGCGTGTCAGGTCATGCGGTTCAGACACAGTCTGTGATAACTTCAGGAATATCAGTTTAGAAGAGCTTCACCTGAGAGCTTTAAAGCCTTGATGATGAAGGAGAGAGACTGTGCCACTCAGAGAGAGACATAAAGATATACATGCACACACACACACACACACACACACGTGTTACCTTCATAACTCAACTAAATCATCCAGACCGGCGCTCTGTGGAAAATGTAACTCATTAGCCCCACACCACACAAAGTCACCAAAATTAGGTGATTTGTGGCATGTTGTTCTAGTGAAATGAAAATGTGTTTACTTATTTATATGTGAGTGCTGCATGCATATGTGTGTTTAAAATATGCTGTATGGACAGTAAATACAGGGTTTCCACACCTTCTGTGCAATGCATTTCCATGACACTTCCTAGACATTCAGTTGTGATTGTTGGATGAAATAATAATATTAAAAAAATTATACAATTTTAATAATTATTTTATAGAGACTGCACTTACTAAGAGCAGATTCTGTAATATTAAATATTATATTATTATGATATTATATATTTGATGAACATAACTACTAACTTTCACAATATAAATTTCCATGGTTTTAAGATTTTATTTGTTGTTATTGTTAACTATTAAAAATATTTTTTGTTAACTGAAATGAAGCTGAAATAAATATATAAGTAAAATATCAGTAAAAAAAAATTATAAGTTAAAAACTTAAATTAAATTAAAAATGTTGCCTAATTTTGTTTTAAGTTTTTAAAAAATGAAAAAATAAAAATTTAAAAACCTAAAATTTTCTTTAGTTTCTTTTTTAACTTGTTGCCCAATTTTCATTTTATAGAGACTGCACTCATTAAGAGCAGGTTCTATAATATAAAATATTATATTAATTAAATATATTATTATATATTCTGAGCATAACTGGTTATTTTTACTATATATATTTCCATTGCTTTAAGATTTTATCCATTTTATTCAGCTGTGTTGTTATTGCTAGCTAAAACTAAAACTATTAAAAACTTTTCATTAACTGAAATAAAGCTGAAATAAAATGTAATAGAAATAGAAAAACCTAAACGAAAAGAAAGAAGTACAAAAAAGACTCAATTTAAAACTCAAATAAATAAGTTAAATCTAAATAGAAAGATAAAATATGACATATATACATATACATACATACACATTTATACACACTTTATATATATATATATATATATATATATATATATATATATATATATATATATATATATATATATATATATATATATATATATATATATATATATATATATATATATATATATATATATATATATAAATATATTTATATATTATAATAATAAATATAAAATATATTTTTTTAAATGAAGTAATAATAAAATTTAGAAATAATACCAAAATAACACTGTTATTCACTTTTCAAGCACAATTTTTAAATTCCATATTTATTTTTGTGATTGTGGGAACCCTGTATGTAACACTTCATAAATTCAGCATGAAATTAATATGACAGCATTATGCATCCGCCCCCAAAACAGTACCTGAACACATCACAGCTGATAATCCATGAATAATGGCTGAACAGCACTTTGGAAAGAGCAAATCCAGAAGACGAGTTTGTCTGTGTCAGTTTAACGTCCTACGATCGCACTCATACTTACAAAATAGATGTCAGTGGTTGATGCGACCTCTTCCTCCAGAGACTCCCGGCTCTGGGACTCTGAGAGTCTGTTCACGTCGGGACGCTGCATTTTCGGGCTAGAACCGAACGGCTCTGCTGCTTCAGGGGCCGGCGCTGTTTCGAGGGTCCCGGTTTCTGTCAGAGGAGCTGTTTCCACGGGAACTGTTGTCTGGGTGTCACCAGGAAGTGTTGCCTGGGAGACGGTTTCCTGGGTAACGGGTGCTGAAGCGGCTGTTTCTGGGACAAGGTCATCAGTGTCTGGAGGAGGAACATCCATCACCGCGCTTAAAAAAAGAGAAGAGGGCAAATACATAAAAAATTATTAAGACTCAAATCTTTTTATAATAGGGATGAAATGTAAAATAATCATTAGCTAATAATGAAAACATTTTTTTTTATAATAATAATAATAATTATATATAAAATAAATGTAATAACAGGGATAAATATAAAATGATTATTAGTGATTGATTAATTAAATAAATGAATAAAAATTGTCGCTCCGCGTTATATACTTATAATCTGTTAATTAAAAAATATATATATAATTTTTGTTATTTAAAATTTGTTGGCTAATTTTCGTTTTAGTCTCTATAAAATAAATTATTTTATAGAGACTGCACTCACTAAGAGCAGGTTCTATAATATTTAATATTATACTATTATGATATTATATATTCTGAGCATAACTAGTAATTTTCACTATATATATTTCCATCACATTAATATTTTATTCACTTGTCTTATCTGTCTTATTATTGCTAACTAAAACTATTAAAATTGTCTTTGTTACCTGAAATAAAATGTAATAGAAATATTAGAAAATATTTCAGTATTCAATATTTAATAGTTAGAAAACTCGAAAGAAAATGAGAAATGTTGCCTTGGCAGCTAACTAAAAGTAGAAATGCTAAGATTACTAAAACTCAAATATTTAGTGCAGGCTCACACATTTGCATTTATGCATTTGGCAGACGGTTTTATTCAAAAGCAACTTACAAAGTGACTTACAGTGCATTCAAGATAAATATATATATATATACAGTGGGTACGGAAAGTATTCAGA